GATGCCTGCTAGCAATTCATATGGTACTTTGTGATCAATACTTTTAATCCGATCAGAACCTTCACTTTTAATATTTGAGACAACGGTGTATTCAAATGGAGCCTACCATACTATACCTGTCTTCTTGAGTGTGACTAGAGTCTCCAGATTTTGCACAGTATGTCCATCTGTCATCCGGCGAGCAACCTGATCAACATGCGATAAATACTTTGTTTCTCACAGAATGCACTAGACTCGAATTGTTACTGAGGAAAGCCTTCTCTTCCGTTATTATTTTTGCAATTTCTTCAATCCAATTCTGCGAGACTTGAGCAAATCTCGTGGTCTAGGGCTGGAACGAATGTTGGAAGCACATCCTGCGATTCGATCAAAACCGGTGTTGAGCAAATACTTGGATAACAGATACCTAGTCAAAATGTCTCTTTGCGCAGTGCAGTCATGACAGAAGTTCGTGAGAGTTGGACCATCAGTCTTTATTTCACCCATAACACACAAGATCAACGTTTGAGCCATGCGATTCTATGTCGTTGTTATCCTTTTTCAAGTCATACGCAACCCATCATTGGCAATCTATCTGAGAGCCGACCAATTCAGTGATCTGGACAAGACCGACACAGCCCTCTCTCCGTCTCGTGCAATCAAGGCTACGAGATCATACGAGCTTGACACTTGCGGTCATGGAAGTAAACGAGGACAGCTCCAAACTTCTTCCCAATTCTCGCACATCCGTCACTCAAATTCCAGACCACGGGGACACTGAACCACTTCGCGCATTGGTTGCTCGTTCGAGACCAGCTCATAGTCCCAACAGTGAATCAATGGCCAACAGGAGGGATGCTGAAACGAATGCCGTTAGCACAAGACGTCTAGAGCCCTTTCCTGTGCCGAAACAACCAGCTGGACCGCTGAAAGATCTTCTACACTTCCTTTTGGGTGCGCCTGAAGAAGAAGCTTCAGTGAAAATACCGATGTCTATGGTCAAAAGAAGTGAAATACCAATCGCAAAACCTGTTGTTGATGTCTCGATGCGAGATACTAAGTTGATGACGTGGTCAACGTCAAAACTTACTGCTGATCAATTTCTCAAATCCACGCCGACCCCTGCAAATCCTGAGACTAAGAGATTGGCTTTAGTCTTGAGCCTCGAACAACTCCTAATGAACAAGGACTTGAACAGCCCGGGGTTAATTACCCACGAAGAGATACTTGACCGGTTTAATTCAAAAGAATTTGGTCTGTCGCCTTTAGTGATTGAGGGATTCCAGCATTTCCAAGGCACCGACAAATTTGAAAAATTTGCTTTGAACTTGCGGGATGCAATTTTCACCTTGTGGAAAGATGAAGGTCGCACAAAAGATACGGTAACGGAAATGTTAATACCGAAATTGCAGCATAAGCCTACGGGGATGGATCTGAAGATTTTCGACAGTACGATCGCTTCATACGCAACATTCCTTCAAAAGGTGGCCGATAAGGCGCATGAATAGAGATATGAATGAAAGTATCTCTTGCGAGAAAGTGTCGCGCATCTGAGTAAGTTAATTCGACGGGCATGCGAATGAAGTGCTGTGAATTGGTATATAGGTGGCATTATAAAAAGATTCTCCTTTTAATATATGTTGATATTCTAGTTGGGTCGTTTTTAACAATACTACATGAAAAGGGTGCAAAGATTCGTGTCTGCTGAATGAGCACACAAACGTGCGGTTCCGTTTTGATGCTGTGAAAAGCCCAGCCAATCGCAACTGTCACTCATGATCTGCAACGGGGTTGCTATAGAAAGTGGGTGGTGAAGATGTTAAAGATGACCGGAGAGAATTCAGTCAATGCGTCACAATTAAAAGAAGATGGATTGTAAAGTTTTGCTTCCACCACTGAAAGAATTAAATTTAAGTCATTTCTCAAAAGAAAGCTAGTTTTACTTCTGTTAATGGAGTAAAAAACCCTAGATCACCTGCTTTCCAGAATTTCATCACCATCATTCTCACTAGTACTGGTAAGGACCCCTCATTATTATAACTGACCAAAAAAGTTTCATGCGTCTTCTTGAACAGTGGTATGTGTGCATACACCATGAAAAAGTACACCACAGAATCGTAGATCGTAAACACTTCGTCGTATCAAGCGATTAAGGGCATATAGAGACATACATTTGAGCCCCTCTGCGCCAGAAGCTATTTTCACATGCAAACTTTTTGTGCAAGCCCTCATCGTGCAGGGGCTGCTCTCGTATCTTGCTTCGTTACGCATATTGCTGCGGGGCTGCCGTAGCTATTTGCTTAGAGGAAGTTAAGCTAAGATCATCGACCTTTCGCTCTTTCCAAGGACCAGTACGAGTGTAGCGGTTCGCAATACGGAACCACCGAGTACTAAAACCTTCACCAAGGCAAATGAACACTTCTGTTCAAAATCGAAACTGTATTGAATTAATTCAGTTGAAAGTTGCTATGTATTATCTTATTACACGGCTATACCTACTCGGCCCTGAC